TTATGTGCTATTAAATGCATTAATCTCGAAAAATGTCAAACTTCGGTCGACGAGCTCTTCCATGAAATAAATGTAAAAGAAACTTATTGGGAGAGGGGGTAAAAAGCAACAAAGGTGTAAGGAATTATGCAAATTTGAAAAATGGACTTGTCAATTCCAGGAGATCTATATCAACGGGTATTTGTTATTTGAAATTTGCAACATATTTTTTTTTTATCGTTTAGGCGATGGCATTGTGTATGCATCCTAATGTCGTAATGTATCACACTTCTTTTGTTGTTGGCGAAGAATTATGGGTTGTTATGCGTCTTCTCAATTGTGGTAGTATGCTCGATATCCTGAAAAGACGCATAAAGGTAAGTATTTAAATAGAGCTGGATCTTAATAATGATGTTATTGAGCATTTCCAATAATTAATTGAATTACTAATGATTATAATGTTCAACATGCATGTACACGTAGATGATTAATATAATTAGATTGTGCACAATTTGATTTTTAGAATTTTTTACTTGCTGCGGTTTTAGGCAATGGGAAAGGAAGCGGCTTCATCAGGTGTTTTGGATGAAGTAACTATTGCCACCGTCCTGAAAGAAGTGTTACGAGGATTGGAGTATTTTCACAGCAGTGGGCAGATACATCGTGATATTAAGGTAGAAGAGTAGACAATTTTTGAAAATAAAGTATGATTCTATTTAAAACGTTTCTAATTTCAAAGAATTAAAAAAAGATCTCTTTCAGTCACTGAATAGCTTTGCTACTTCAGTGAGTTAAAGAGATCTTTTGCTAAACAAAATTTTTTTTTCTTTTTCCCCATTTTCCAGACGGTAGAATTTCTTTTGCTGAATTGAAAGCGAAAAGGATTTTCTTGCTTGTAGGAGGTTCATTTGTGCGGGAAAAATGATAGAAATGTTTAAGGCTGGAAATATACTAATTGCCGATGATGGTACAGTTCAAATTGCGGATTTTGGCGTTTCTGGATGGCTGGCTGCAAGTCAAGGAGACTTATCAAGACAGGTTTGTTCATATTTATATAGCACTTCATTTTTTTCGAGAAATAATTGAATTTCGGCCAATTTAATTTAACTTTTAAAATATTCAAAACGGGATTTAAAACGAGTATAAGTGTTCGAATTACAACTGTCTTATGCATTATTACAGAAAGTTCGGCATACATTCGTTGGGACACCATGTTGGATGGCTCCAGAGGTTATGGAGCAAGTTTCAGGATACGACTTCAAAGCTGATATCTGGAGTTTTGGAATTTTGGCTATTGAATTAGCAACTGGTACAGCTCCTTATCATAAATTCCCACCAATGAAGGTCGGTTTATTCACTCTTCATATTTAGTAGATATTTATTTATAATATCTTTTACTGTTTCATGAAGAATAAATAGTATAACTAAAAGGACATATTTACTGTCAGTTGCTTGTTCTTTTTTTTCCATTAAAAGAGACTCAAACTAATTGTCCATTACCTTCAGGTTTTGATGTTAACGTTACAAAACGATCCGCCAGGTTTAGACACAAATGCAGAGAGAAAAGATCAGTATAAAGCATATGGAAAAAGCTTCCGTCACGTCATAAAGGATTGCTTACAGGTGATGAGAATTGATTTTTTTTTTTACATTTATTTACCTCTTTACATATTAATCAACTAATTATTTGCTTGAGTTCTTTTATTTAATACATTTAGCAAACTACAGCGGAAATAAATATAACTATTATAGTTTAAAAAATGTCATATATATCAATAATTCACACGAAAATAATATGAAGTGATTTGCGGAGTTTTTAGAAAGATCCATCAAAGCGACCAACTGCAAGTGAACTACTGAAGTATTCGTTTTTCAAAAAGGCTAAAGATAAGAAGTATTTGGTACATGCCTTAATTGAAAACCTAGCATCTATGCCGCTTCCATCTCACCATCAAACTGATGCACCGAAGAAGGTATCATCACTCATGTCAAATGTTAAGCGTTAAGTGCATTGTATAGCCAACTCTATGAGTGGCAAAATCTAACATGATACAAGATACATGATTTTTATTGTAAATACTGAAGTACCACTTTCATTGTTTCTGTTCATTACATTCTCTAGTCATTTCAGTCAGCCTTTAATTTTGGCTTTTAAAGATTGTAGTGAATTTCCTCGAGTCATTCATGGTTTTTTTTTATGGGAAGTAAAGATTTGAAGGGATTAAGTCGAAAAGATAAATAAGCTCCAATATTCAAGTTTTTCATGAATCTTAGTATGAAACTCGATAGTACGTGAAGTAATTTAATAGGAGAGAAAAGGGACTGTGGGCATGCACATTTCTCTTTGAATCTATGTTATTTGGTTTCCATTACGTCTTACGTCTTGCAGGTTGCATCGGGTAAACTGAAGAAGAATTCGGAAGGAAACTGGGAATTTGAACCAGAAGAAACTGAATCAGAAGAAGAGGGTGAAAAGATGGACCTTCCAACAACTTCAACTGCTGTAGCAACGACTTCGGAAACCATCAATTTGGTACTTCGTTTTGTTTAATTTTCAGGATTTTATTTGCTTTACGAATATTTTAAATGAAAATTGTTTTTTTATTCTCCTGTAGCAGGTAAAAGAGATATGTGAGTAGAAAAGTATTGTGCTGGATGTATTATCACCACTACCATCACATCACTACTGCTATTCTATTATATCTGAGAAATGAAGATCGGTAGAAAGATTACTGTGATAACGCACCTCAGCTGATCGAAATTTTTCAGGATCATTGAAGGTAAGTTGATTTTCAATTGTGAGTAAAGCTTTTTCGACTAATCATTTAATTTTCTTTTTATTTTATTAGTCACTTTTATTAGGTGGATGATTTCTTCGAAATTCAGGTCCTGCGTGTGAGGAATGCGCAGAAAGAGCTGAATGATATCAAATTTGATTATACGCCATCAGTGGATACCGTTGAAGGTATAGCACATGAACTGGTTGCAGCTGAATTAATCGATGGACATGATCTGGTTGTTGTGGCAGCAAATTTAAAAAAACTTGTGGATGCAGCACTATCAAAAAGTGACAAAAAGTCAGTAACCTTTGCTCTAAGTTCGGTACCACCACAGGAAATGCCGGATGAACGTGCTTTAATAGGTTTCGCACAGATATCACTGATCGATTCGAGTAACGCTCAAGTTGATTGAATTATTCCATTATTTCTTGATTTGAGACAAACCTGGTTCGACGACTAATTGTAGAAGTGATTTCGATTTGTCTTTGTGTTTCCCTTTTTCTTGATTTTGTTTTATTCCTCAATTAGATATTATATGATTCCAAATTTTGAAAATTAAGTGAGTTGCTTTCCCACTAACAGTTGAAATTAGGTTCTTGTCATATTTTTGTTAATTTCGTCAGTTTCAACTGGTCATACTGAAATACGTAATTTGGAAATCGGGAACAAATATGTGAAATAATTTGGGAATATTTTATTTCCAATTTTGAAATACTGATATAGTTGTAAGATTCATTTGAAACTGACTCGAAAAAATGAAAAATATTCGCATGTTGCTAAAAATGATTTTGCATGTTTCAGCTATTTTTTACTCAGAGATTCAACAATGTGGTAGTGATTAACAATGTTTCTTCGATGTAATTAAAACAAATGTGAAATCCCTTTGCGGATTCAATTTCAGGGACTCTCATTTTGAGTTAACTTTTTATATCAATTTGGTTTTCAGTCCGCAGGCAGATGCGTATTATCTGCTGTGACAACATATTTTTAGTTTTTAGTCCAGGTAGATACATATTATCTGCTGTGATGACATACTGCTGCCGGAAGTAAAGATTTTGATCTTAAAATAGGTCCAGATATTTACCGCCGTTATTATGAAATTTCTATTCTTTAACTACAGCTTTCTTTCCTCCAGGATTTAAAAGATTTAGATGGTATGAATAAATGGAAGAATCATATACTCTATTGTTTAAAGATTTAGATGGTATGAACAAATGGAAGAATCATATACTCTATTGTTTACATACTACTTTACGAGAGGTATGTTGCTAAGATTGACTACTGATTACTGCCCACTTGAAAATTGTGCTTTCCCTTTAAATTATCTTACCATTACAAGATATCTGTCGCCAATTCCTTCGGATTATGCAATTTATTAGTTGGTTCATCAACCACTTCCATTATTTCCCTCAGTTTTCATATTAGTAATATCCTAGTAATGCTCTATAAATAGCAGCTGCCCTTAGTGTATTTTAAAATTATTGACGATATTTGCTTGCAATCATCGTTATCTGTAAGTAAAATCATAACTAATTATGATGTTATTTTAACAAACATTCAATTTATCATGTTGTCATAATATTTGGTTTCTTTTTGTTTCTATTTCGCTATCACCTTCCAGAATGATGTCACGAGATTAATTTGATCTTTTTTTTTTTTGATTTAAGCAAGATGACATCACTTGAAGGTAGAGAAGTTCTACATATTTGCTCAGTTTGTCTTATAGCTCCGTAATGATTCATTTGTCTTTTTATCCGAAAGGATTTCCCCTGTTACCCTATCATGTTCATTAAATTATGCAGTTGACATTCAATGCTCTTTCCTTTATATATATATATGGTAAAAAACTGGAAAAACATCAATATGTACGATTTTTTTCCCTTTAAGGTTATTGTTGAAATTATATGTAATGAGAAGAGAAAGCTTAAAAATTGAATTTAAACAAATGAAAAGTTGGATAAATGAGCAGATGAAGGTTTGAAAAGTGGAGAAAAACATCAATTTGTAAAATAAAACTTATCTTCCCTTCTGAGGAATAATTGTATACATTTGTGTATTTCTAACAGTACACCTTTCGATAAATTAAAAGAGACATGCTGAAGTTTTTTGTTTTGATTTCATATACGAATAAAGGTGTTGAATTATCTTTAAGTTTTTAATAGTTTAATTCACTACATTTATCTTAAAATTATAAAATTTGGCACTGAGTTTGGATCTCAATTCAATTATTAAATTTGAATTTCTAATTACCTACGTTTGATTGTATGAGCTATATACTTAATTGTCCAAAGTTAATAACTTTATAATTACATGAGGGATCCCGTGAGACACCAGAAATAAGTCAACTAAGATTCCATGAAAGAACAAAGTAACTTGTAATCCTTCATAAATTTACGAGAAAATTGATCAATCGATACGGCACTATTTCTCGCATGTCGCATGTTACGCGTGACGCGCGGCATTGTGATGCGTCGCGGTTGCACTGGTAGGGGTTTGGTGTTGGGTGGGTGAGTCATTGCCAATTGATTGGGTGGTTGCCGGTTGGTTGTGGTGGAAGTTGTTGTTGGTGCGGTGGTTACGCTTCATGTATAATATTTTGGTTGTTTACGTAAACTTTGAGTGAAAAGTAATTTGACGAATATTAAACCGTGAGATTCGTTACGTTGGTTTATGCGTGGGTCTTGTTGAGCATTCACGGATATCGAGTTTATTTCTGGCATGCACGAAAGAGTTTCGAAGAATGATGCGACATGCACATGTTTCAGTTGCTTGTGAAAAGATGGTACTTTTGGAGGAAACAGTTGCATCAAATGATTATTATGATTACGCATCACCACTGTCATCATCATCATCATCATCGTCGTCATCGTCATCATCGTCATCATCATGCTCATCGTCAGAGTGTGATGGCGATGATCTTTCACCTCGTTCATTGTTAACACTGGCAATTCAACGGCGTCGAATTATTTACAACAGTAAGGAACGTGATTTAAGACGAGAATTGCTGCATACAAGTTTCATTCAATCGCTGTGCAAATATCTTGGTGAACGTCGTGCTAGACGGCATCAGCAGCGATGTGCCGCCAAACGTCATCGTAGGAGGAACAGTCGGGAGAATCGGAAACGTGAGTACTCGTCGTCGTCCTGCGGGTCGGAGTCTGATTTTCGAGTTAAATCCCACCCAGGGATCATCATGGATGATTTCCCGGGACATTTGGATTTGTCTCCTAGTGAGTCAGAAAGAGGAGGTGGAGGTGAAAACAGTGAAACAAGTCAGTTTGATGGTTATAACGACAGTTTATACAGTTTATTGCAACAAGATAACTGTGTTCAGTTGCCTTTGTCGAATGTTATGGAGGCTGACAATATATTGATTGAGCCACTACCACCACCGCCGCCACCGGTTTGTTTCAAGAAATCGCGCTATACCCAATCAGATGCAGATCCGTTTGGCTTAGATGCATTGTTCGATGAACTATACGGCAAAACGATGGTTGCGTCAGGTTGGTGTCGTTTTTGGTTCCTTTATTTTTTGGACATATTGCTTTGTTTACACTTCAAAATTCTGAAGTCTAGTACGTCACAGTTTTTTCGGAACATTTTCGGAACTGTGAAATTTCGAAACACGGGAGAAATTTGTATCGTGGATGATGGCACATGTTAGATGAGATATGTAAAATGGTATTAGGGTTTGTTTGGTTTGTGATATTGTTTCAGTTTCCAAATGTTTTGCGTTCAAAAATAAAAAAAACCACACCTTTCGATGTGTGATGCTAAACGCGATCGAAGTGACCCAGGCCCAGCATTCTGTTCCAGGATACTATATCTTCTGTTTACAGTAACATTGATTTTGTATCAGAGTTTCTCCAAAGCTCTTGTTTTATTTTCAAGTAATGCTTTACGTTTGAACATGTTTCGGAGCTTTTTAGATAGGACATTGAATTCGTGGAAATTCGCTTTCTGTCAATTTTAACTTCTTGAAATCTGATATTTTATACATGTGAATTCTTTTTCAGGATATAAAGGTAATGATCAGGAAACAAGAAGTGTTGCGCATGAAACAGCTATTGCAGTTGGATATTCATAAGCTCATGGAAGTCCGATATTGAAATTAGTGGAATTTCGCAATATATGTGCTTATTTGTTCGACGTTGTGGGATTGGAAAAGTTTTAAAGGTGTAAGCCACAGTGATCTCAGAGTGTGTACATATTTTGCTCAATTTGCTGTTTTATTTTTAGGATTTATTGTCGTAATTTAAGAAGTGCAAAATATACCGATTTCTGGAGTTATGGAGCGAACTGAGTTTAAGATCGGTTAGAAAATTTTGAAATTGGCTCTCATTGTTAAGGTCTTGTCCGGGTTTCGCTCTACATAATTCGATTATTGCCTTTTTTCTTTCAATTTTGGTGTTCATTGTATTGTATTGGTGACTTTTTTTTGTTCACATAAAATTTTACATAGTAGGCAGTTACATGTTAAATGTGCTGAAGACATTTAGGCTGTTGGAGGAAACGATGTAACGCCAGCAGTACAAAAGCCAGTTTCAATAGTAGGGGAAGCCAATGATGTTTATGTGGGGTGGTTATATGGTGTGAAAGAGAAACAGTGAGACTAGATTCCAAATTCTTTTTTCAAAATGATTGGAGTAAGGAAAGTTCCTTATTTGCTATTTTTCAGTGTTAAGGTTTTCTGGAGAACCCTAACAAGAAGTCTTCGGTCGGAATATGTCTGGCGATGACAGTGCTGTTGCGATATGACATGTATAATTATACTTCATTTACTACTCTCCAAGAATTTTTCTCAAAGAGTAAGGAAAGAGTTTAGTTTGTGAAAATTTAGGGGATTCGCTTTCTTCGTAGTGATGGTTATTAGCTTAGTGTAAAAGCTTGTGAAGCATACCGCACTGGGATTGGTACTTTTCTAGGGAGGTATGTAATGGATATTGTTATTTTATGCTAAACTTATTTGAAAAGAAGTCGAAGGTTTTGAGTAGATTTTTAGAGAAAATTATGCGAAAAACAGGATTATGCAAATTTTAGAAATACGGATGCGAAAGAGTAGTGATTCCTTGCCGATTTCGCTTTTTTTCACCAACTTCCATCAGTTGGATATATGAATGTGAGATGATTGTTCACATTTCGATATTCTTTGTCATTCGGATTTTTCGTGAATTCTCGAATGATATTTTCATAATTACCCAACAGCATTATGAAGTTTGTGGAAATGTTTGTAAATTCGTGAATGTAACAAGTGAGTTGGTAGAGAGCTGGTGGAGGCAATTGTTCAGCGTATTTCAGGAATGGACATGAACCGCTTTTCTTCAGTAGTTACGGGATGGTTATGTATGGACACACCGGTGAAATGATTATGTGTGGAAGCACCGGTAGGTGTTGTTGTCCGGCCTTTGGTGGTGCTCACAATCAATTGAGTTAAAAGTTGTATTTTTATTGAAACATAAATTGATTCTAGAAACTAAACAGCCAGTACATACAATTGTTTTAATAGGTTTTGAAAGGCTTGGGAAGTAGCGGGGACAATAACAACAACATAAACTAAGACGTAAAAATACCCGATATTCCAGCAGTAGTAATTTGGGGATTTCTAATTAGCTGATCTGTTGTTGCAAGATAGATTTATTTAGTGGAAGCGTTCGTTTGTTTAAGCTTCATGTCTTAAATAATTGGAAGTGCTGGACCTATGATGTAGATATTTGTGAATGAAAAATACAATGAGGAAGTAATGTTGTATGACAGTGCGAATTTTCTAACTTGAAATATGGAAAGTGGTAATTCGTAGATGAATAGGAACGCAGACTGACAAAAATTAGAAAGGACTTAAAGCTCTAAACAAGATCGTACATGTTTCGTAGACCTGTTAGTAATGACTTCAACCCCAGTTAATAGGCATCATATCCTAGTGCGGTACCCTATGATCTGTAATATAACGCCAAATGTTAATTGATATTTCTAGAACAGTTACAAGTGTTTTACGTTTTTCAATAATAAACGCGAAATATTTGCCTTCGAGATTCTGACGTTGTGCAGCGGTAGCAACTTTGCATAAGTTTGCCACAACAATCACCATATATCTGGCTTCCAATTTTCGCTTTTCAACGAGTTGGAAAACTTGCTCTTCAATCGAGTATTTACAACTGTGGAATAATTTTTCCGCCATTAAAATTCTTTCAGATCTAGCTTGGTTTTCTATGCATTCTATGATATTTACATACTGAAATGATGAGGTTTTCGTTGTTAAATTCATACACTGAAAATTGCACAAATAGAAATTCAATTCAATTTTCTTCTCAGTAATTGGTTGAATGAATCTGTTAGTGGACTGGTTGAATTTATTAGTCAATATTATCAATCTTCCACCCTGATTCTCGATAATATAGGGAGTTAAGGATTTTCCTCTTCGAAGGAACAAATTTTGGAATGGGGGAAAACGAAATGCGACAGAGAAAGAAAAAGTATTGAAGTCGAATGGAAATTTTATATACTACCAATCTTTTTCCCTGCTGAATTGTATGATAATTTCCATATACTATAAAGATACTATAACTGCTATTGGAACAATTTATAGTTATTATGGGTACTTTTGCTACTACTTGTTGTGAGAAATGTGATTACCATCGATATTTCTGCACTTGGCGGAATTGTTGCTGGCATATGAATATGCGTTTTGTTTATTCGGTTGACTCGACGCTGTTCTTCTTCAACATCAAAATCCCATTCAACATTGGCTGGCTCGATTTCGAAATTCTAAAAAAGCCTGTGGATTATATGTTGTTTTAACAACCATAAAAACACTAAATTTGTTTTTTGAAGAAATCAAAGATGAAATGTAAATCATTCAAATAATTTTTATATTTATCGGCAGTAATAATTGCTGGTTGCGAAATTATTTCAGTTTTTTTTATCAAAAATCATTCTTGAATCATTCTTATCAAAAATCATTCTTTAATAGCCATCATTTAGGAACTTTACCCATACTGTTTGATGATTTTTGAGTACTGACTTTTTCAAACGGCCCAAGATTAATGATTATGAATTGACTTATAATGAAATGTTAATTGGCTTCAGTATAGTTTAAAATTTTTTTTTCCGATTAATAGAATTTTTACTAGATAAAAAAGAAATGAAAAAGTCCTTGCATCGTCAACATCAGTAATTGGTGGAAGTCGTCTGCTTGAGCTTTGTCCACCGCTTGATGATCCAGCAGGTGGAGTTCGAAGTAATGCGTTGGCGAGAAATTCAGCATTTTTAGCTTTACCGGCAACAAATGGATGAGTGAGAAGCTTTTTTGCTGACCATCGTTGCTTTGCATTTTTCTACATATAAATTCATCAAAACTTGAAGATAATGATCTCTTTATCAGTATCAATCAATTTATCTTATTTCATTTCAGGAAAAAAATGTTTTAATAAATTATTTGCTTAACTATTTTAATAGTAAACTGTGAATGACATTTTCATAAGTTCTTTATGCTCTTCCTAATATATCAGTCGTTTATTACTACATTTTTTTGTTAAATCGTTAAGAAACATATCTTTCCTCTCAAAAAAGTAGTCCAATTATACGCTTTATCCTAAAAATACTTGGCTATGCCTAAATTATGCTAAATACATAATGTAAATATAAAATTTAAATATAATACTATAAAATTTACTGATGTATCAGAAAGAGCATAAAGAGCTTAGGGGAATGTTGTTCACAGTTTACTGTCAAAGTAGTTAAGCAAATAATTTACTGAAGTAAGTTTTATATGTTTAGTAAATTATTTGCTTAACTATTTTGTGTCTCCGAAATGTCACACAACATACTTTTAAACATAATGAAAGAAAATGACGATATTGTTTTCCATACTCACGATAATTACAGACTTCATAAGTGTCTAAACTTGGCGGATTACTTCCTCGAATCAATTTTAATGTCTGAAAATTATTTCCCTCATTAATTTTCTCACTTTTATTTTCTTTCTATAACTGTATAATTCAATCATTATAATCGTTTGAAGTTAGCAAGTTTTCTTCGATTTGCTAATTTACTGTATCATTGACTTTTAGCGTAAAATATCGCCATATTTTAATCTTCCTCTTCTCTCTCTCTCTCTCTCTCTCTCTCTCTCTCTCTCTCTCTCTCTCTCTCTCCTCATTTCGCCTTTTCTGTCTCAAGTTCACCCCACATGAAAAAATTTCATAACACTATACCTTATGCTTAACCTTAATGTTTCTCATATACCTAATCTTATGCTTAATCCATGTTAGCATATATCAACTTGCTTCTTAAATCTTTTCTAAATAATAATTTTATCAGAAACTCGCTAACATTTTTCATGAAATTTTCTCTTTGAAAATTTCAATTTCAAAATTCAAATGTCAATTCCAGGCAGAACGAACCATGGTAGCTATTTTATTATGATATGGTGGATATCCGGTTGCCATTTCCAATGTTGTTATGCCTAAACTCCAAATATCAACACTAAACGTATAAGTGAATGCTCTTTCTGAATCATCCATTTCCAAAACAGCTATTTCAGGCGCCAAATAACATAATGTTCCCGACATACTTTTCTTTGTTCTCTGGAACAAACGAATAATAATTAAAAATGACAAATTTAATATACAGTGAATAGATAAGTGGCACCTATAAATATAAAAATCAAGTATTTAGGTATATATCTATATATATATATATAGCCAAAAACTTTTGACTAAATATAATCTGTAATTATAATTATATAACGGAGCGCACACATACCTCTTCAGATTCCAACCAAATTGAAGGACCAAAATCGGCAAGTTGAACATTTCCGGCGGATGATATCAGTATGTTTGAAGTCTAAAGTTTTAGTTTTAAAAAATCGATCAGGTAATTTTTTATTTTCTACATTTAAAAATATAAAAATATCTAATGGAACTGCTTATTGCTCTCCCTTCAATTGGAAGCTGTATTTTTCAGAATAAGTATTTATTGATTTCGACTGAATTCATTTCATCATTTTTAAAAATATTATATCTTAAGTAATGATTTGAAAATATTATAGCTTAAGTATGTTTATGTTATTTGCAACCATTATTACAAATCATATCACAATATACTATTTTTTTATTCAGCATAGCAGTAATTCAGATTAATTAATTAATATTAATATTAGGAAAAGAACAAGAAATAAATACCTTAACATCACCATGAACAAGTTGGCTGCGGTGAATATAATCCAATGCAATTAAAGTTTCCTTCAATATTGTAGCAATTATGGGTTGAGGTAATACACCTCTGGTAAGCTCATAACGGCCACCCATTGCCTAAAATATCTATTTCAAAAAAAACTAGCAATTATTAATTCGAGATTTTTATTTCGGTTAATTCTAAACGATTTTCAATTTTTCAACAACAGTACATTCACGAGCTTTAAAAACTTTTTGTCTTATCTCATATTAATGTCAATATTATTGTAACTAATATATAAGATTATGTGCATATGAAATATGTTCTTTGAATAAATTTATTTATATGTGATCTTTGAGCAATGATTGAATTTTGGTTTGGCTAACTGCCTGATATTTACTGTAATTTGACGATCCATAATTTGACGTAAACTTCCACAATCAAGCAACCGCATCACTATCCACATAGTTTTTCCCACTTGAAATGACGTATGATAGCTGATAATATTAGGATGTCTACATGCCATTAAATCCTAAACAAAAAAAAAGGAACCAAATTAAATACATGTGCAAATTGGATACCTCAAATAATTAATTATAAGCTTATATCAGAATTTCTTTATTCTTCCTTTAAATTTGAATTCTAGGATTTCAGAAATTTTATCATTTTAAAGTTTTGAAATAATAGAAATTGTTCTCCAACTGATGTAAATTTTTAAAAAAAAGGAATAGATACCTTAATTTCTTTTCCTAATTGCGTTAAATTATGCTTTTCTATATCAACACGTTTGATTGCACATATTGCTTCTCGCTCCATACAGAAAGCCTGAAAATAACTTTCTTTTTTTTGCTTTATAAAGCTCCACAAAAGAAGATTTTAAAAAATTGATGATGGTAAAATTCATAAAAGGAAGAAAACAAATCACTAATAATTTATTAGAGAAAATTTTATAAGCATTTCTGCGAACTTTTATTAGCAACATGCGATACTATTCAAAACTTGGGAAAGAAAAAGAAACGATAATACACAATCGAATATTGCGCTGAAATGAATAATCGAATATTATACCGAAGTAAATAGCTTCTGCCATGATAATCAGATAACCAAATATTATATCGAAATGAATAACCAAATATTATTCCGATATTCAGATTTTATAACGAAAAGAATAACCGATTATGCCAAATAATCCTACCATCATTTTATAATTAATCATTTTCTTCTTTCCCTATCCAAATTTTTTTTGGATCAAAAACGTCAAGCCGGTTTGATTCTTGAATTTCATTCAATGCTTTTTGTGTAATATTAATATAAATTCAGCATTACTTCATTAGATAAATTCCATTATTTATCATGAAAATTTAGATTGTTCAGGAAAAAATGTAAAAGAAATCTTACCTTTCTTAGTTCAACTCTCAGCTTTAAACAGCTTCAATCATTAACGAAAAAAAAAATGAAACAAAACATAAATTAATAAATTATATCATATAATATAACCCTATAAATGGTAGATGTTGCACCACTTCCAATTATTTCTTCCAATCTATACCCTTCTTTATTGGCTGGCCAAGGGAGTTCCTGGACTACTGGTTGAACCTGTGATGATTCTTCAGATTCGACATCTTGTTGAATTTGTGATTCGCCATACTCGACATCTTGTTGGATTCGTGATGATTCTCCGAATTCTTCCATCCTTCTCATTTCACTTTCAGCCATAACTATATGTTGCTACGAGTTAATACTTGTAATGATGATCCATAACGAAATTACTATTTCGAGCGCGCCTTTGATGAGCAAAGTAGAGAGAAGAATATTCTGGGCTACAAACCAAAAAAAAATTGAAAAAAAAGCTAAAAAAAGGGAAAAAAAGGCTGTCCTCGTATTGAATTATCCGAATTTTGATATAATAACAAGAGATTTTATCCTAGCTTCACCATAACTTATTATCAAACGTGATCAACTGTAAGTTTTGTCATTTTAGTGAGTTGGGACTGTTAGAAAAAACTTATCTGATTTATTTGAAATGAATGGAAACTTTATATATTTGTGGATGCTACAAAGAAGTCGCTATTTTAATTATCTGTAACGCTAATATCGTAATATTCGCAAGTGGGTAATAAATGTTTTTGGACTGGTTTTCAACTAGCTGTGAAAGACTACTTTACTTTTTTCCTGTTGCTGAATCATACTCAACACTGATTTATAATCATTAATTGATGAACGATAATTAACAATACAAAAATGAACAATAACATTAAAAAAATGATAACTGTCTCCTTTCCATATACATACATTATTCTTTGTTTTTTCATCCTCACTTTATTTTCTTCACAGTTTTGATGATATTAAGTTAAACTTCGACTGTTTGAGTTTAACCGCTCTATTAGTTTAGAATAATACTTCGACTTCTATTTTTCAAGAGAGAACATATTTTGTCGATTCAGTCAATATCAATACCATATCATTTAAGTCTATAAAACCACTAAGTGCATTACCAATCTATTAATCGGAACAGTTTACTTGGCACATGCTAAAAACATATATTTTCAAAACTTGAAGCACCCATTTTTTTAATTCTGAATTTTTTATGAAAATCCACCTCAAATAACCCTGTTAAAAATGATCACAGCAGCTATGTAACATCGATGATTGCCGCTTGACTATTTATTATTCCGCTAGTGCTTCTGCTGTTGCGTACTATTGTCGTATTGTTTCTTAGTTCGATATATTGTTTACGTTGACGTTCGGTAAACAATAAGGTCCTGTAACTTTTTGGCAAAAATAAGATGAAATAATCGAAATAAATCAATATGATATTGAACGACGGATCGAAGAAAAATCATTATGGGTCGAAGCAATTTTTATTTTACAATTTCAAAAAAAATTGGGTGAAATTCTTGAAGATGTTTTGCTGAAGGAAGTCAAGTAATCTAAAGGTATTTAAGCAATAGCAATCTAAGGATATTTTATTATTGTATGATTCTACCCATACTTTTTGACATGTAATAACAGTGATTTTGCAGATAAAAACACAAAAAACTGGCAGAAATCTGAATTTTGAAAATCTTAATACACTGGAAAAAATAATTTGATATTAATAACAAACTGCCAAAACAATTACAGAAAGAAAAACATACTTTCAAAGGTGTGAATCTGTCGACCGTATTAAGACCAAGAGAGCGTATAAGGATCAGTGGCGTACTACTCGCCAAATAAAGTCTGTTCAACCAATCGCATATTACCTGCACTGGTACATTCCGTCGCTGCGCTTGTGTATCATAATCAGACAAATATGTAAGTGAGCCTGAAATACTTCACGAAATTAATTTTCCCCACATAAAATATTAAACAATCTGAGAAATTGATTGATTTACCTAAATCACCTCCATCGATTACACATTGTTCTAGACAACACAGCAATATTTTCACATCACTCCATCCTAGATTAACTCCTTGGCCAGCCAACGGATGAGTACGATGCGCAGCATCTCTAAAATCACTAATTTTTTGATGACTTATTCATTAATTCAATTCACATATTTTATCATATTGAAGGATTTTGATTCTTTTAAGGATCAATATTATAAATATTCAAACAAAAACTAACCCAATCAATGCGGCTCTTGGTATAACATAACTATAACTATGTCCAAAAGCCAGCGGAAATCTGGCACGAGTATCTTCATATACGGATATAACCGTCGGAAATGTAAGTTTTGGCTTTTCACTTACGGAAAATATTCCTTTCAACACTTGTTCCGTAAGTGATAAAAACTGATTTGTTATGGAATTCTGATGAATATCAGTGGTCTAAAATTTTTTTTTCTAAAAACATAGAAAATGTAAAAACTTTTCAGAATAAATTTCCGTTATTCATCAGACCACTAAAGCTTAGTAATTTCAAATCATATTTCAAATGCTTCGTAATTCATTTAATGCATTACTTTCCACAATAAAAACGTTCCTTCATGTACAATAAATAACTTTCATGAGTGCTCAGTTTCAAAAATTCCGTCAAAATCATAATATTTCCGCATAACCCATTTATTACTACAAGTTAGAATAGCATTAAATTTTAGCTGACAATACTATAATAATCAATAGTTATTCAAATTAATGTTTAAAATCGGAGAATCAACTGAAAATATTGAGATCAACGTTTTACAGAATTCAAATAAAAAAATTCACCAAGAACTCATTAAGCTCATGAACAAATTCTTCTGGCGGTAATGAAAGCAATTCTTCGGCATGCTCTGTACTTGTCGACCATGTCACTGAACTCATATTCTCAGTAAGTGGTAGAATAGCTACGGGACCACTTGGTGTAAATCTCTCCCATGCAACGCAATTATTTTCCGCCGAAAATAATCATTATTTTGCATATATTTTTTCAAGTATATTTTAATCCTATTATTAAATATCATACATGTCATGATTTATGACAAAGTTTAAGGTCGATTTTTTTGAGAAGAAATTATTATTATTAAATGCTAAAAATATAATATGATATAACATTTTATTGCAATTTCATGATTCATTTTAAATAATGTGAGAAAAATTAACAGAAACTGCTGATCTATTTTGTGGAATAAATAAGTTTCATTCTTGAAGAAGAAACAAAGTGGTTTGGAACTTCTTCATACAATCAAAAAATAGAAAAACTTACAGCTTGGACCTGAAGATTTGCAACTACTGCTGACTGCCCATATCCCCATGAAGTATATCTGAACTTAAGCATATCTCTCACCATACTTCTAGCACCATCGGCACCAATCTACAAAATTTATAGGTTGTCATGCTATTCAGCAAACACACAAACTATGTTTTGTAATTTAACACCTATTATTCATACATTAGAATAATGAAAATATTGTTCATACATTTTTGATATTGAAAAAGCAACAATTATGCAACTAACGCATCCTCATCTTTTTAAAATCCCAACTAAATATGAATGATGTTTTCAAAATTTTAAGAATTTCATAAACATTAACAATAAGAGACGTTTGCAATTTCGTTCCATCATCCAGTACAACTGCGGCAAATTCATTCAAACTAGATGGACTCCTGAAAACAGATCTATACTACGAACATATAATAAATAATGTTAGTATGATATTCAAAAACTATATATCTTCAAGAAATTTTTCTTATATCATCATACCTGCAATCAACTACTTTTGCCTTCGTCTTAATTGCGACATTCGGGCAACTTGCTTTGATACGATTTGAAAGAAATCCAATGATTGCATTGTTTTCGATCATATAAGCAACTTCGCTAGTTGCATCCGGTTGGGCGAATTTTATCGACGAATGCGAACAGCTATCCATAACCTATACATATCACCCAATAGTTTTTTTTCTGTTTCATATGAATTTTATTTTGAAATCCAAATGAGATACCTTGATTTGTCATAGCAATTGGGAAATTAAAAGAAGCTCTTAAATCTTAATTTAAATAACTGAAGTTGACCACAGGGCCGCTTATAAAATTCAAATCAATCCGTCGATCCTTATTTAAAACAAAACTGATATTTTCAATCCAAACCTGAAGTCTGTCCACTCGCTTCACTCTCAAATCCACAAGATCATCCCAAATTCCCAATTCTACAAGTTTATTATTATGTAAGAAGGAAAATGAATTTACAAATATAAAAGAATATTCAAAAAAGTACGTGTATTAATCATACTTTGAAAAAGTAATACAGATGGAGGTGATACTGCAGTAACTCGATTTCCATATGGTGAATTTTTTATTGGTGCTTTGATTTCTGCTGAATCCAGCACAAGTATCTTCTTTGATTTGAAACGTTCATTCAAACCTGGATCAAACAGATTCTTAATCTATGAGCAACAATAATGTTACGTTTTCAAACAATGTATTTTACTGCTCCACAAATATTTATTCAAATTTTCCTTTTATTTCAAATTTTGAAAATTTAACAAATCACATGGCATTAACATAAAAAATAAAATGTAAATGAACAGAATAACTAGAAATGTTCACTAAGTTATACCAAATTCGAGTAACTAACCAAGAGCGCAGGCCATTGCATTACCAACCATTCCACCACCGATTATGATAATATCGTAGAAGGAACCGATTGTTGTTGCTGTCGAACTGTACGAACATCGTGTTAATGGACAAATTCTTGATATCATTGATGACCGCCCGACACAATCTCCTGCAAATATTTCATTTATTTTAACAAATTAAGAATATCTAATATCAGTTTATTCGTTGCATAAATACCTATCTTCTATTTTGCCATTAATATCCATTACTGATAATCATACATTATGACGGATAACTCAAACAAAAACGTGAATTTTGCTAACAAATAATTCCTACGTATGGACAATGAAAACTGCGTACTTAACTATGAACAATTATTGAAAACAAATATCACTCAAGAAGAAAGAAAAAGGAAGGCCAAATTAGATGAATTTCATTCGAAATACTAATACTCGAAACAAAAGAAGAAAAATTATTGAATTAAAAGTGTGAAATAATTAAAAGGGAAATCAATGCTGAGAAAGAAAAAAAGAAATCTGTAAAAAAAAAAAGCTCTCTTCAGTACATATTTCCTTTTTCTCAGATCTATCGAATTATCTCCAACAATTGCGTCCGAATATCTCGCATATTTACATCAGCACGTTTTTATCTTTATTTCAAGATTAGCGATGTCTCTCGTACATCATTTTGAACCGAAAATAACGTTCAATTCTTACGAGTTTAGTCTTTCTTTCACTACCACATTAATTGATTTCCGAACTGAAACACGCATACATATACACACACACACACATACACACACATACACACACACACACACACACACACTCATAGACGTGTGCACATATTGATTTCAATTTTAAGATAAAAAAAGTATTTTGCAGCGTCACAGTAACAGAATGATGCGTGTGTTGTGACGAGACGTGGAAGTTCAGACATACGTAAGGTAAACTATAAGCATGCGTAAACTGTTAACAATCAGAGAGCGTCAGATATCTGAGATAATTCGAAAGGGATGAATGAACGAGAAGGAGAAAATGTCCGCTTGTGTTTGTACGTGAAGGCATCGACGGCTGGCTGTTGTACATTTCGTAATAACAAGAAAATGGTTGTTATCATATCTTTATCTGTTAATATTCATTTTTAATGAAGAAGTTTACAGTTTTAGTTAAATTATGTTTGAAAAATTTGCCCATCATCTTTTTTACCATTCTCATATCATCGATGATAAAATGATCATTCTTTTCTTTCTTTTCTTTTTTTTTTCATTTTATCGTTACTGACCTTGATTTTCGTAATTTTTCATCCAAATTTTATCAGATATTGGTATAGCGATATATGAAATTTTCAAATGTTTTTTGTTCTTTTCCGGCAGCAGATCTGATATAACAGAAATATCCGATGAAATTTGGAACAGTATCTGTAGGACAGTTCCCTGCGGAATATTTCGATTTATTCGAAAAATTTTTTGTTCGTTAAGAAAAAATATTTTCTATCGTTAGCAGCTTTTAAGATAGTATTTTCTGAATTTTCGAACTTTCTGAAATTACAGAAACTGTCGACATGGAACTCTGTGGAATGAAGTTTGAAATTCACAATTAATAATGAGAATATTTCAACTTCACCGCTATAATAGTAGTAGCCATTGGAATACTCATCGAGTAATCAATATCATATAAACGATAAAAAAAAAAGCACTCTCGATAATCTGAACGGTGATGATTTGCATATTAAATTTCCCACAATCAAAGTGCTTATTTCATTTCCAACATTTTCAATGATTTATTGTATCTCCGATAACCATAATGTACATGTATTATTTCTAGTTATCATATGTTCTTTTTTTATATATTATTTCTAGTAATCATGTAGCATTTTTCCTAATGCAAAATAAATCCAAAATGATTGAAGCAAAATAAGCAGTAGGAAAAATTATTTATAATTGAAACATGATGTGCTAGAAAATCATCTTCCAATAAAATTATCTTCGAGAATAACTTTGTGAATATATAGCAATCAATTTTTGCAGGTGTTTTGCAACTGTTCTCTTTTCAATTGTCTTTTTACAACTGGAGGGTATGATATGCGCGAATATCTCAGTATCCAGAACTGTTCAGCTTAATCGTCCATAGTTTTTATGAGGATATGAATTGTAAATGATAATTAATGTGATAACTGCTATGCCACCCAAACAGTACAGTAACGATGGTGGCGTAAAATTGAATAAAATCCAGGAGCCAAATGTTGCACCAAGTACTGATGCATTCTGAAAGTAAATCTTATTACAATAAATCTTTTCAATTCATTTTTTAGAAATTAAATTTAGAAATGATTCATCTCATATAACAGATATGAATGATGATAAAGTATAATAATAGTAAGCAATAAATATTACAGGTATACTACTACTATAATAGAATATAATAAATATTGCTAATAAGCAGTTATCTAAAACAGGTTTTTTTCAACAATAAACAGAAAACTAACAAATTATGATATGAAATAAAGGATGAATCATTAATTACTTGTGCGTAGGTTTTTGCAATATTATCAGTATATTTGATAACAACAGAAATTAATAATCCACCATTAATATCCACACCAATATATCAAATCTACGAAACATTCCATCTTCAAATTTTTATAATTTTTATAAAGAAAAACAATCAATAAATTACATGGGAACAATTATTTTAAAAAAGATTTCAGTAAACAAATGATTAATGTAAAATTTCACTTCTTTTTTATCTTTGAAATCGTTGCTGATGACAAAAGATTCATCAAAGTAGATTATATTAAGTGATATATATTTTTTAT